CTCATCAAAAAGGTTATAAAGAAAACTCTGTTATTTACAGGAAACAGTAAATCTAAAACAAGTACAGTGCCATCAACTGGGTTCCTAATAAGACTAAGGAAGGGGCTCCATCAATTATAGAGCTAACACCTCCATGTCAAAAGAGGTACAGGAGCCATAGGAGCTACAAGGAACCAATCTTGCTGTCTTTCATTTATCAGAGTAGAACATACACAGTAAGTCAGTCTACATATTTTAAGTGTACACTTCCATGAAACTTTACATATCAATTCACCCATGTGACCATCACTCCAAACAAGATAGACTATTACCAACAACTCAAAGGCTCCATTGTGTCCTCCTACAGGTAGTTATTATTCTGACATCATGAAAAATTATTTGAGCCTGATTTTGAACTTCATATAAACAGAATCATAAAGGTTCTCTGTTATTTGGCTTCTTTAGTTCAAAAGTACATCTGTGAGGCTGAGTGCGGTGGCTCACCCGTGTAATCCAAGCATCTTGGGAAACCAAGGTAGGTGGATCACTCGACGTCAGGAGTTCAAGACTAACCTGGCCAACATGGCAAAACCGTCGCTACTAAAAATACAAAAAAAATTAGCTGGGTGTGGTGGCACATGCCTTTAATCCCAGCTACTCAGGAGACTGAGGCATGAGAATCCCTTGATCTGGGGAGGTGGAGGTTGCAGTGAGCCAAGATCCTGCCACTGCACTCCAGTATGGATGACAGAGCAAGACACTGTCTCAAAAAAAAAAAAAGTACATTTGTGAGATTCATCCCTATTGTTGGATGCATCAGAAGTTTATTCTTCCTCATGGCTGTGCTGTTTTCTCTAAGTATGCTTCAATGTGTTTATCCATTCTACTGCTGATATACAGTTGGGTTATTTCTAGTTCTGAGCTATTACAAATAATATTCTTATACACTGTATACAATATATTTTTGTGGACAAATGCATCCACTTCTGTGGGGCATATAACACAGGAAGTCATATTATATTTATGATTTTATTAGGAACTTCCAGTTTTCCAAAGCGGTTGTACCATCTTATATTACCATCTACATTTACACAACTCACCACAAGAAAGCTCCTTTTGCTCCTCATCTTGCCAAAGCTTGGTACTATTGTTCTCTTTAACTTACTCATTCTGGTAGGGGTGCAATGGTATTGATGTTTTCTTAAACATACTTCTTAAGTACTCTTGCTTCACTGATAGTTTTTCTCCCAATAAATTATTCCTAAAATTGTAATGACTATTGAATTCAGAAATGTTGTGAATTACTATTCAGTCCAAAACCTGCTACTAAAGTTCATTTGGTATTATTTGCCTTCCTTCTGCCTTTATTTCCTAAACACCTCCAGGTAAAGACCCTTTAATTCACTTATAACTTTGTTCTTATACGATTGGAATATCTTTCATTAATACATTCCTCTACTACTTCTTGATGTTTGGTGACAGGATTTGAAGTACAATTATACACACACACACACCCCTTCCCTGTAAAGCCTATTCATGACAATGAATCCTTCAAACAATTCCACTTCTAAAAAGAACTAATTCTTCTGTGTAGTATTCACCAATGTAAGACTTCTTTTTTCTTTTTTTAATGCAATGTTGGTGCAGCTAACTAACACTTATTTTGCCAACTAGTTATTAAAAATCTAAGCTAACAATCTGTGTAGCTAGGAAGGGAGCCATAGATATCACATAATCATAATCAGGATTTTGCATATTATTTTAAATTATGGTACCATTTTGCTCAAATACTGAACTATCAGGATTTCCAGACTACTGAATGCCAGATAAGTAATGGGACTTTATCATTACTCTGATAAGCCTCTGGATAACAAAGTCAGGTAGTGCTAAACACTCTTCCATTTATTACATTACTGAGGCAGCTGCCCAAATGATCCATAAATTACAAATAAACAAGTTGCCAATTACAAATCTAGCTACTTCCATCTCCTGTGCCACATAAGACAGAACTCACAGCATTCAGATCCAATGAACAACCCCTTGGCTTGCTAAAAACAATTATAATTAACAGCTGTAGATGAGTGACTAGTTACAGATTTCTGAACAATTAGGAATTGTTCCACACAACAAGAAAGGTGTTTGTTGAATCAAAATCTTGGGAATGGCAGAGATCTTAAAAGAAAATATCCAACTAAGCATGATGGCTCCGGCCCTATCCCAGTGCTCTGGGAGGTTAAGGCAGGAAAGTCACTTGAGGCCAGGAGTTTCAAACCAGCCTGGGCAACAGAGCAAGACTGTTTCCACCCCCCACCTCCAGAAAAAGAAATCCAGCACAATCCTAGTACTAAACCGCTATCTTCCATAAAAGGCAGCAAGGTGGAAAGAGAATAAAATTCTGAAATCATGCTGGGTGTGGTGGCTCATGCCTCTGGTGGCTAGTGTCTGAAATCCTAGCACTTTGGGAGGTCAAAGAGGGCTGACTGCTTGAGCCTAAGGAGTTCAAAACCAGCCTGTGCAACATGGCAAAACCCTGTCTCTAGATAAAACACAAAACATTAGTCAGAACTGGTGGGAGGTGGAGGTTACAGTGAGCCAAGATCGCACTACTGTACTCCAGCCTGGGGTACTCCAGAGCAAGAGGCTCTGTCTCAAAAAAAAAGAAATCAGACATCACAGTACGGTACCCATTCACTTCTGTACTTCCTTACTAACCAGTACTACCACCTGGGCAAATTACCTAATCTGAGTCTCAACTGCCTCATCTGTAGAGAATTATGCCAGTTATACCCCTATCTCATAGAACCACTATATGGATTATTTTAGAATTAAGATACTGGATTATTTTAAGATTAAATAAGATAATCCATATAGTGTCTACTACATAAAAATTTTAGTTCAAATGTCTTCTTTTGGCAGAAAGAATACTGATCACATAGGGAACTTAAGTTATGGCCCTGGAAAATGATACTGTGAGGAAAGGCTACCTCACTTCTCACCCAAAAAAAATTACAAAAATATACGAATTCCTTCTACAACATCTTGGAAATCAAGTCCAGATATGCAAGCAAGGGAATCAACTTCCACACTACTCTCATAAACGTGATCTGTGTGGATAACCAGATGATCAATTTTAAATTTTCAAGCATAAAATATATTACTTTAGGATGAGGAGGAAAACTATAGCCCTAAGCCAGATCTGGTCTGCTACCAATAAAGTTTTATTGGAACACAACTACACTCAAATGCTTGCATACTGTCTATGGCTGTTTTCTTTCTTTTTTGGAGACAGTCTCACCCTGTCACCCAGGCTGGGGTGCAGTGCAGTGGTGTGATCTTGGCTCACTGCAACGTCTGTCTCCTGGGTTCAAGCCATTCTCCTGCCTCAGCCTCCCGAGTAGCTGGGACTACAGGCACCCGCCACCACGCCCAGCTAATTATTGTACTTTTAGTAGAGATGGGGTTTCACCATCTCAGGCTGGTCTTGAATGCCTGAGCTCAGACGATCCACCTGCCTCAGCCTCCCAAAGTGCTCAGCCTCCCAAAGGCATGAGCCACTGCACCTGACCACATATTGTCTAGGGCTGTTTTCTCACTACAATGAGAGTTAAGCAGTAATCACAGAAACCATGCGGGCCATAAAGCTTGTCATCTGGCCTTTCACAGAAAGTTTACTGACTTTTGCTTTAGGATAAAATTCTGTTGGAAAGTGGAATGGATACAAGTTCAAAAAGAAAAAAGGAAAAATATATAATGGACAAACTCCCAGAATGATTTAAAAAAAAAAAAAAAAAACTAACTCAACTAACTATATTAAGACATTTAGTAAAGTCTTCATGAGAGAGAAAAACTCAGGCCCATAGGACTTCACTGGTAAATTCTATGAAACGTATAAGAAATAATATAAATCCTACACAAACTCTTTCAGAAAACAGGAGGAAGGAACATTTCCCAATTCATTTTATGAGGTTGTAATTACTCTGCTACTAAGGCCAAAGATGACGCAAAAAAAGAAAACCTCAGACTAATATCCATCATGAACATAGTCACAAAATTCTTAACAAAATGTTAGCAAACTGAATCCATCTGTATGTAAAAAGTAGTATAGACATGACTAGGTGGGGTTCATTTCACAAATGCAAGATGTGCTTAACATCTGAAAATCAAGTAATGGAATACACTGTGTTATATATCTTACAATCTTTGCTTCAAAAGGTTAGTTGTATGTTTTTCAAACATCAAATTATATTCTATCAATTTGTATTGTAAAAAAAAATACATATATTGCATTTTTTTTTTTTTTTTTTTTGAGATGGAGTTTCACTCTTGTTGCCCAGGCTGGAGTGCAATGGCACAATCTTGGCTCACTACAATCTCTGCCTCCTGGGTTCAGGCGATTCTCCTGCCTCACCTTTCGAGTAGCTGGGATTACAGGAATGCGCTGCCACACCCGGCTAATTTTTTTTTTTTTTAGTATATATATATATATATATATTTTTTTTTTTAGTAGAGACAGGGTTTCTCCATGTTCAGGCCAAGCTAGTCTTGAACTCCCCACCTCAGATGATAGGCCCACTTCAGTCTCCCAAAGTGCTGGGATTATAGGCGTGAGCCAATGCGCCTGGCCTAGATAATTTTATATTTATTTTTAAGAAGTCAATATTTACTTGTTAGAAACTACATCCTAAACTATTTAAAATGAAACACTGGCCGGGTGCAGTGGCTCACGCCTATAATCCCAGCACTTTGGGAGGCTGAGGTGGGTGGATCACTTGAGGTCAGGAGTTTGAGACCAGCCTGACCAACATGGTGAAACCCGTCTCTACTAACAATACAAAAAAAGTTAGCCAGGCGTGGTGGTGGGCACCTGTAATCCCAACCACTAGGGAGGCTGCGGCAGGAGAATCGTTTGAACCTGGGAGACGCAGGTTGCAGTGAGCCGAGATTGAGCCACTGCACTCCAGCCTGGGCAACAAGAGCAAAACTCTGTCTCAATAAATAAATAAATAAAATTAAATACTTACACTATTTAAATCTATGATGAAAAGTTTCAGGTGCCAACTTAAAAGGACATAAGATCTAATAGACTCCCCCAGTCTTCCAGAAACTCTCAAACAGAAATGTTTTAAGACCAATGACCCAGCGTATACCTGAAAGTCTGAAATGACAATGAGAAAAATAATCATTCATGCCAAAGCAATACCACCATATCTTCGGACTTTTGATTTCTGACCATAAATTTACTCTTAGCACACCTAGATGTAAACCTAATATTCCAGGTACAAGCCTACCAGTGATGCAACCTTTCTCATTCTAGATTTTGCATTTTCCTAATACAACACACTAACGCAGGTCACATCAGTATTTCTCACAGCTTTCTTGGCCACACCACTGACAGGTGATTGAAATATCAAATCTTTTTATTACAGGAACTCCTGTGAGGTCACATCTCCACCCTCCCCCAATAGGTATAGTTGATTTTTTTGGACCCAAGTGCAGTTTCTCACATTTATATATGCTTCTCCCATTTCATTAAACAGCACTGAGCAAACACAGTGAGCTGTTTTAGCATTCTGGCAATCATCAACCAAATGACTCTTGCTTTACTTCATAAAGGCACCAAATCCAATAAGCAAACCTTCTAGGTAAGGTTTCAAATACATAAACTGTATAAAGAAAGTGATGAAACCCCAGTTTAGATCACCAGAATTCCAGCCGTAAGTAGTGTCCATAAATCAAACCTCTCTAGACATAGATGCTGAAACTCATGACTCCATCTAATCCTACCACAATTTGGCAAATTCCTCCATCTCGCCCACTCGATTATCCTGAGACTTAATAAATGCCTTGCTAAAATTCTGACACACTATCATTATGGTCACTATACTCCTTTGAGATAGAATTTGGATGTCCTGTCCTGTTGTTCTGCTGAATTTAGGAGAACTCTAGAAAGTCCTTCTCTGGATAAGAAAAGAAAAATGATACATCTTCCATTTTGTATTAATTACAGAATCTCACGAATGGCAACGATTTTAAATACTTTCCAATGTTGTTTTTCTTAGAGACAGGGTCTTGCTATGTTGCCCAGGCAGGCCTTAAGCAATCCTCCCATCACTGCACTCGGCCCTAGTGTAATATTTTTCTTTTCTTCTTTTTTTCCAAGATGGAATTTCACTTTTGTCACCCAGGATAGAGTGCAACGGCACCATCTTGGCTCACTGCAACCTCAGCCTCCCGGGTTCAAGTGATTCTCCTGCCTCAGCCTCCCAAGTAGCTGGGATTACAGGCGTCCACCACCACACCCAGCTAATTTCTGCATTTTTAGTAGAGATGGGGTTTCACCATGTTGGCCAAGCTGGTCTCGAACTCCTGACCTCAGGTGATCAACCCGCCTCAGCCTCCCAAAGTGCTGGGAGTTAGTATTTTTCAAACTATATCTCATGACCTATTAAGGGTCGGACTCAATTTAATGAGTTGCAACCAAAATTTTTTTTTAGAGTGCATCTTCTGTAGAAAGAGTAAGTAAACTTTTAATTGGGATGTGGGTGTGTACACACTGAGTGTGCAGGGGCACAATGAGTCATGATGTAAAATGTATCTAACTGTGGGTCACAGGTCAAACATTTTTGAGACACTTTTCTAGCCCCACAGCCCTACACCAAGGAGGCTCTAAAGAAATCGGTAGTAAACAAAAAGTCACGTTTTTATAACCATTTTTACATCAAACAGAGAAACAAACAGAATTTTGTGCTCAGTACACCTAATCTGTCATTCATTAAAAAAAAAAAAAAATTAGGAACCATCTGCGTGTCCATTTGAAATACTAAACTGCTTGGAGACAGAAGTTTAGTATAGAAATACTAAACAGTCATTTCTGTTTTGGTGGGGTAAAGACCTGTACTTAAGACAGCAGACTGAAATCAGTTTGATCTGTGGCTAGGGAAGAGAAGAAAAACCATTCTGGGTAGTGAGTTCCTCATCTGTAACCACAGGAGAAGATTGTTGGCTTGGTCAGTTAATTTTCAATTAATCTTCCAATTGCAAAGCTAAGCGAAGCAACTGCTATTGGGAGATTAATTGAAAATCAACTGACCAAGCCAACAAGGGCTATGCCTCCCACAAACCAAAAACACTTTAACCACTCAACAAGTCAAGTATTGATAAATACAATCAATATCACACAAAGAGCACTGGTAAGAACCACAGACTTGTACCAAAGGCAGAAATGAATCCAGGGATAACTTCTGGGATTCAGAAGATGTGCCCTGGTAAGTATAAATTTCTCTGGCACCCTCTTTTTCTACCCTCCAGTTCACCTCTGTCCTCAAACTATCAGTCATGGATGTGGCACTGGCGTTCTTCTCTGCCACCGCATCTCATTATGCAATGGGAAACTGAGGCACGAAGCAATGAGTGAGTGAGCCAATCAACTGCAGCAGCCACCAAGAAGCCTGGACTAAGGGCCCAAGCAGTTAATGCCTCACTCCTCACACAATCCCCATACTATTTAGAATCCTGTAGTCCTCGGCCTCCCACCTCAAACCAAACTCCTGCGACCACCCGTAGTACCTAGCCCCCTGCGCACCCAATGAAGCCCCCCCAGCTCGTGCCCGCCTCAATGAAGGTCTACAAGGCCTGGAACTCCGAAGTCTAAAGCAACCCCGGCTGGCAACCCCGGAAGCCCCCTCCCACGAGCGTCCACAAACCAGTAGCCTCCCGTGGTTCCCACCTCCGCGCCGACGGGCCTCGAGCTCCTCCGCACACCACACCAAGCCGACCACAGAATACCAGAGGACCCAAAGAGGGGCTCTCTCCACGCCCACCCCCACTGTTCGGCGGTCACCGCCACCGCCGCCGCCACCGCCGCCGCTGCCGCCGGAAACGCCCCCACGTCTCCACGCCACCGCTGTGAGGTCACTTCCGGCGCGACACCTTGGAATCCAAAGCAGGCAATTGAGGGGCGTGGCTCCCGGGAAATTTAAGAGGTTGGAAGAACTGCCCTTCGGCCTTCCAGGATTGCGCTGGGGTGGTCGTTTTGCGCTCCACGCTCACTTATGTCCTATGGCGTCTTGGCTGGAATCGGGGCTCTACCCACGACTCCCCTGCCTCGATGTCCATGCCCCCCTCTAGCAGTCTCGATGAAAACACCCGCCTCCCCCCTTAGCAATCTCGATGAAAAGCACCCGCCTCCCCTCCTTTTCCCCCAACGCCAATCGCAAAGCTAGAGAGTAGGACTTTAAGGGAGACCTGGAAGTGAGACCCGCTCCGTGCTAAACCGCAGCTGTGGGACTCAATAAGTGGGACAACCCTGACAGATTAAAGAAAAGATATTCCCGCCGTGGTCGATCTTCAAAGTGTATCAGCTTCAGCCCATTTGGGGGTTAGATATCAGCCAGTCTGTGCTTGACTGCTCTCCCTTGCCCCATACTCAGTACAAGGGAAAGTGCTGTTCTCCTATCCTTGGCGTTTTAGAGTCTTGATTTATGGGGTGAGGGGAAAGCATGCATTTAGGGCCCAGGCAGTGTAATGAGAAATTTTGCACAGCCTTGAAGCCTGACACCTGGTTCAGGAACCACTACTTGGGCGGGCAGCATAGAAAAGGTAGCAATTCCAAACCTAGCTCTGCAAAATCAGTTGAGTAGCTTTGAAAAATTTCAACTTTCTAGGGGACTACTTCACCCCTCCCCATCCATCACCAGAGGTTCCCTAGGTCAGAAGGGGCCCCGGCCTTTTAAAATTACTGTTATTAATGAAGCTTTTAGAGCAGTTTTTGGTTCAGGGCAAAATTGAAGAGAAAGTACAGAGTTCTCACATATCCCCTGTACACACAGGCACATACACACACAACTTGTCCCCTTATGGACATTCCGTGCTACAGTAGTACATTTGGTAACAACTGATGACCCTACATTGACACATCATTATCACCTGGAGTCCACAGTTTACATTAGAGTTTACTCGCAGTGTTGCATATTCTGTGGGTTTTGACAAATGTGTAATGACATGTATCCACCATTATGGTATCATACACAATAGTTTCACTGCCCTGAAAGTCCTCTGTCCTCTACCTATTCATCTTTCTCAGTCCCCTAGCCACGGGCGGCCACTGTTCCTTTTACTATCTCCATAGTTTTTGCCTTTTCCAGAATCCCATATAGTTGGAATAATACAGTATGCAGCCTTTTCACATCGGCTTCTTTCACTTAGTAACATGCTTTTAAGGTTATTTTTTGTGCTGAATAATATTGCATCGTCTGGAGGTGCTACAGTTTCTCTGTTCACCTACGAAAAGATGTCTTGATGGCTTCCAAGTTTGGGCATGATGGGGTTTCATCATGTTGGCCAGGTTGGTCTCGAACTACTGACTTCAGGTGATCCACCAGCCTCGGCCTCCCAAATTGCTGGGATTACAGGCATGAGCCACCACACCTGGCCACCTTTTGTGATTTTAACTGAGAATTTTATGTGATTCTCTTTTCTCACCTTTATTAACATACCAGTTATTCTTCTCTTGTTTTAGTGTTTGCTCAAGAATTTGCAAATATGCAATTTACATTTTCAAATAATTCAATTCCACTTTCAAATAACACTATGCAAATATGCAATTTACAGTTTCAAATAATTCAATTCCACTTTCAAATAACACCCTGCTACCTCATGGACCGTGCAAGTACCTTATAGTCAAAAATATTACTGATTCTTCCCTCTTGTCTCTGCTATCATTGTTCTCATTCATTCCACTTATACATAAGCATATATATTAACTTTACCAGTGTTTCTTAGTTTTCTCCCCACCTTAGGTAGGACAGGATGGCTAAAGAGGGCGAAAGTTGGATATTTCCCTTTCTCCAGCAAGGTTAGGCTTTAATAAAACCCCAGTAGGTTAGGGTTTTACCACTTCAGGCCTTACTCTCAGAGACTCTGATTCACCTAGTCTGGGGTATAAGCCAGGGATCTGTATTTTAAAAGGCCCCTCAGAGCCGGGCGCGGTGCCTCAGGCCTGTAATCCCAGCACTTTGGGAGGCCGAGGCAGATAACAAGGTCAGGAGTTTCAGACCAGCCTGGCCAATACAGTGAAACCCCGTCTCTACTAAAAATACAAAAAATTAGCTGGGCGTGGTGGCATGCGCCTGTAGTCCCAGCTACTCAGGAGACTGAGGCAGGAGAATCACTTGAACCTGGGAGGCAGAGGTTGTGGTGAGCCGAGATGGCACCACTGTACTCCAGCCTGGGCAACAGAATGAGACTCCATCTCATAAGTAAGTAAGTAAGTAAATAAATAAATAAATACGGTAAAATAAAAAGCTCTTCAGATTAGGAGTGAGTGCGGGGGCTCACACCTGTAGTCCCAGCTACTTGAGGGACTGAGGCAAGAAGATAGCTTTAGCCCAGGAGGCGGAGGTTGCAGTGAGCCAAGATTGTGCCACTGCACTCCAGCCTGGGCGACAGAGTGAGACTCTGTCCAAAAAAAAAGGAGCTTTTCAAAGAATTCAGATGCTTGTGTACAGAAGACCACATTTTGGAGCTGCATCATGCTCTTTGATTAACATTACAAGGGAAAGCCTCATAGCATCACCATTTCCTCCCCAACACCACTCCATGCCCCATTCACGTGCAAAAATCTGGAGGTTCATTGCTCCAATGCCTGATTTGGTTCTTTCCTTCCCCGCCTTTTTCCGTGGGCTCTTATCACTCCCACACTAATGCATACCTAATGTTACACAAGAGGATGTTCTCTCAACAGAATCTAGAACTTAGGGTGTTTGTTAGTTATATAACAAATTCAAATTAAAGATGAATATCATACAGAATTAGGGAACATGGGTCATGCTATAATATTTTCCAAATACCTTGTCTTTTCTACAATCACCAGCCATAGTGTGTTAAAACTGAATACAAGTTGGGACAAGAAATATATATCACATGCCTGGAACATCTCGTCTTACAAGACAGCAAAGAAACCATCAGACTACAAGATTTTTGCTAAAAGAACTTGGATGTCAACTTGAAGAGGACTTCACTGGTCAAAAGTAGGATAATTTAAGCATAAATAAGGGTAATAGAAATTCATCAAATATATTTAAATCTGTGTGCCACTAATGATAATT